CCCCAAAACCCCAAAACCCCAAAACCCCTTAAGAACTCAAGAACATTGAAAAATTACTTCTTAATATTCCTTCTGTATGCCTCTCAAACATCTTCTTGTAGGAGATAGCTCTCAACTTTAGGCTTCGCCTTTATTTTGTAAAAAGAAGACTGACGGGGGTATAGACTTTGGGAGTCTAAAAGAGTTAGCTGCAATTTATGAAGTTTACATTCGTTAGAGGTGAAGATAATAAAATACAAAATATGATAAACTGTTGCTATTCTATCTCTATATTTCAAGGTGTCGTTGTTGGGTACAATACTCTTCCTAACCATCCAATAAGTCTCTGTGTAATATTACCTTTCAGCTCTTCATACATCTGGTAGACATCATAAGATCCAGCTCCATTAGAATTCTGTGCTTTTGTGTATTCAAAATGATCTACTTCTGCCTGGGTTTTCTACAAGTTAGATTAGGCTTACAAGGAAGAACCTTAACTTCTTTCTCTTATTTTTGGATATACTTATGTCCATTCAGGGACAACTTGTCACAGTACTTAAGCAGGAAGGAGTTCAGACTAAAGATGAGGGAGGGAATACCTGAATTTAGGAACATCTTTTAGTTTGATATTCTCAAGTTTTCTAGCATTTTCCTTAGAGCTACAGATCAAATATGCCTTACAAGCGCTGTATTTGGGTGAAGCCTGCTTTGTTGCTGTACAACTCTAGGGGTCAGAAGGAAGTTACTGTAGTTACGAGTCTGAGAAAACTCCTTTCTATAGAGTTATGAGGTGAACATACTTCTTTTGTTTCAGAGATTTTCGTTCCTGAAAGCTATTTTATTAACTTTTCAGTCTCCTTGATCTCATGTTTCGTCTTTCGCTTGGTCAGAGATACCTCACTGATGCTTGAGAGTCCTGGATTATTATTAAAATTTGATGAGATACCTTCTGAGGATGAATTATCCTCATCAGAAGTGTCTTCTTTCTATAGGAATTAGACTCTTAAACATACTTTATTATCTCCATCAATATGTTTAGCCTGAGAATCATTTGCAGGAGTAAGAGCTGATGCGGTCTTACGGTTAGTATTTGTTGAAGATCTATTGTACTCCCTATGAACTCTTTCAGTATCCCTAAAATCATAATATTCGGTATACTAACTCTCCCACGATGCTCATTCTAAGCTCTAGTTTCTTATTATGCCGTTGGAAAGCATTCAGAGCAGTAGTGAATGATTTATGGGAATCTCCTTGCATTCTCTTCCTTAATGAAGTGTTCCTGCAAAATTTATTTAGAAATTGATTAGGGACACTCGGTAAGGAGGATTTATTTAATATCTGAGACCTCATCTTGAATCTCAATCTTAAAATAATTCTGTTTTAAATTCCCAGTAGGGCTGTTTGGATTCATCATCTTTCCAGGAGTATCAAAGATACTACTCTTTGTATTATCTAAAGTTTCATTTTTGACAACTTTATAGTTTTGGGTTCTTCTCCGTGCACTTTGGGTCAATACACTGTTCTTTTTAACCCCTAGATGGGAAGCCAAGGTACTTTGTGTGCCTACCAGATGAACTATAGCTACATACCATCAAGACCTTTAGTAAGCATCCTGCTTGTATTAATATCAGTGATATCTAACTTTTCCTTAGATTGCTGTCTCATTCGTAATTGCCTAGCAGAGCTATGATTATTTTTGCTGAAATCCAAAGGAATTGAGACCTTTTTATTCATCATTTTACTGCCAACTTTAGGCTGGATATGGCCCCTCTTGGTGCCTCTTTTATTCACAAAACTTCTCTTCCTTCTACGGTGGTTTAGGAGGTTAATCCGAGTAGTCCTAGCCGTAGGCAGATCCTTGTTCAAATTATTTCTGTCTTCTTGATTTCCTAGAGCTTTTTCTAGATTTCGTACATGAGAGTGATGAGAATTCTGGCGTTGATAGCTTCTCTAACAACTTTTCAACCAGGTGCTACAAAGTCAGGGAAAGCCTACTTTTGGGTTCTTAGCATCCAAGTCTGTAGTGAGATCCTGTGTTATGTTGAGATTAAGCAGAGTATTCATAATTATTTCAATAATTTAAAATATGAAAGGGGTTTTGGGGTTTTGGGGTTTTGGGG